GACTCACTGGTTTATATGCTTTTGTTATATAACTGTGGATTATGAAGAAATATGTGACACTTCCAAGTTTGGTCATAGCCAATCATCAATCAGCGAAAGAACAAAGCTTGCCTCTGTTAGTGACAGATTTAGGCAGAATGGTGAAACCTGAATCAAAACATACCATCAAAAACCCATTCCTTTCTGGCCACCTCATCTAAATGAGCCTAAACTCACTGAAATTTTCTTCCTAGGCATTCCCAAGACCTTGCTATCCCAAGCAGCTTAGTAGGCCATCTCCTTTCAAAATCAAAATTCAAGGAATAAGACAAGGGTTCCAATCCAAGACATTTGACACCGATACTGGCAAAGTCAAGATCAAAATAAAACAGACAGTCGTGGTCACTTTAAGGCATTGTTGGATTCAGATAAGAGTGAGGAGTGGAGCGATCCACCTTTTAGATGATAGGCTCATGGTTGTACAACTGCTCCAGCTGAGTGGAATTTAAATCTACATTCCCTACCCAGCAAGGTGCATCCCAGCTTCTGCTAGGATGGTCCCCACCCAGATTCACATCCTGATGAACTTGTGCTGTGGAGCAGAAGAAAATTCAAGATTTATTAGTCTAGAAAGACAAAGGAAGAGAAAACATCTCTCTAACTTAATAGTTAAGGCATTCAGCTGGGAGTGAGGGAGGAGTCCTGCTTTTGATCCTTACACTGTTTCTATGTTTTTTCAGTTATTAATTTCATGCACAGCAGGAACAAACCCCCAAGTTCTCCCCCCTCCCAGGCACACACTTTAGGTTGGAAAAAATTCATATTTCAACATTTTTTCCAGATGAACAGCTACAACAGTAACTAAATTTGTGGGTGCATTACCTTAAAGAAGTAAAAACCTTACAAAAATATTGAAACTAAGAAGATCTGTGTAATTAGCTGCCAAGATTGGAGGGAGGGAACACAAAGAATAACACTCAGAATTAAAGCCCTTCTTTTACTTAGCGTTCATTTGGCAATTTTGCAGTTCTAATTCTTTACTCTTTTTGCAAACATGACAGTGATATCTTTAAATCCTATTTTACCGATTTATATACAGAAGCCAATGCAAAAGGCACTTCTATAGCACTTTTCATCTGAAAACTCAGTATACTCTACAAATAGCAATTAACCTTACCGATTTTATACAGAAGCCAATGCAAAAGGCACTTCTATAGCACTTTTCATCTGAAAACTCAGTATACTCTACAAATAGCAATTAACCTTCATAACACGTAACTACCTCCTCCAATGTGTTAACAGCTCATTTTACAGCTGGTGAAACCAAGGCAGAGGAAAGTTGAGTCATGTACCCAAGGTCACATATAAATCCACCCTGGAACTCCAAAATGTCTCTTTCCCTTTTTAAAGTCCACAAAATATTTATAGGGGCTGGTTAAGAAGAAAGATGAACTTCCTGAGATTCACAGTTGATTTTTGAAGTAGTTGGCATCAGAATACTATAAATATGCTTTTCTTGATAAAATATTTGTTACAAAACCATGCTCAATATTGCTCTTCTGAATCTTTTCTGCTTTGAAAATCAGAAGTGAAAAAACCTGTTTCTGCACTATACTAGCACCAGGTCACTCACACTGGGGCATAGGACACTGGTATTACAAAACCTGTAATCTAGTCAGTATGCAAGAATGAGGACTGCTTCAAGACTTGCCAAAAGCCCTTTTGAACAACCGAACAATTTGGTTTCATCAATGCTTTTTTTTCCTACATATTTGCCACAACGGTATTTTCCCCCACCCAATACTGGTACATGTTCCCATGTGTAAGCCTGCATGCTGAAAGAAGACCATTTTAAAGAGGTTAAAACATTAGATAAAGAGGCTGGCTTTCACTGTTAGCATTTAACTCCTAGGCATACATAAGAAATTCTCAGGCAAAACCCTGCAAACCATTATTTCATCAGGACAAATACAAACAGCGGGTCTCCCACACTGTCACTGCCACACAAAACACATGCAATCAGACATTCGTTGTATGTTTGCCAGCTTTCTGCTCAACTTTGCTGATGGGGATTTACAGATGAAAGCCTGGTTTGTTCTTTTCAAGTCCAGTTTCCAGACAACAGTTGAGAAGTCCCTAGAAAGGGACTATGGACTAAATTAGTTAAAGCAACTTTAATGTAACCATATTTACAGAATTAATCATTTCACATACTGTATGATCTTCTATAAGAAACAAATAAAGAGTTGAACATTTTACATATAACATGGCATAAACAAAAGCAAAATCCATCTCAGATCTGTCATAGGCACAGTCCTTGTGAGGCTGGTTTCTTGCTTAGTTTTTACAGTGGGGGTGGTGTTCATATGCAACAGTAATACAATTTACTCTTCAGTGAGGAAATCAATCTTGATGTGTTTGGAGATCTCAGTAATATATCTAATGTCTGACAAAATTCAGAGATCCAGGACCATTGCTGGAAGTGGGAAAAGGTGTGAGTGAGAAAAAATAAAAAGAAACTAAAGAAGTAGCTTGAGCGCGTTATGGCCTTTTTCACTTAGCCATACAAAAGAGAAAAATGCCACGAAAAATCAGGCAATGCAAATATCTGCAATATTTGCTCATTATTTACATAACTGCATCACCACTTATTTTTCTAAACAGAAGTAATTATTTACCTTTTAATTGATTATCAAAGATCTTGGTTATGTAAGACAAATTGCTGCAGCTTAACTAAGATCAAATTAAAAGTACAAACTTACAATTTTACTCTATCCTTACATGAGATTAGCTTAGTTTTTAATTTTTCTATGCAAATTAAACCAATTTAAATGTGAAATAGGCAGACAAATGTATCTATTAGGAGTTGGACATAATTATGCTGAATTTAAATTACATAAGCTAGTGTGACTTTTCATATATAGACAAGGTCTAAGTCAGAAGATACAGAAGCTCGCTCCCCTAACCAG